GATCCCAGTTGACTAGGTCCTTCCTGGAGGCAGGTTTGCTGAGTAAGCGAATAAGAGCAGGTTTGCGAGGTAGGGAACGTGAGTAAAGGCGAGAGATACAATGAATGGACAAGCGTATATTGGATTTGAACCAAGATCGACTGTACTTGAAAAGCGAAATTGGAAGATTTGTGGTCGAGACTGCAGAAGAGTCAAAGAAACGTTTGATTAGTGTTCAGTTGTCAGCGAAAGAGCGACCCGAGGTAATATGGATAGAGAAAGGAGTTGGGATTTTCAGATCTAAGGCATATTGTAAAACCGAAATGAGACTAGTAGAAGAGAACCCGAAAGATGAGACAAAAACAAACGGAGTCGTGGTAATTGTTTTCAAAACAGATCCCTCATACCCTTTCTTCTTGGATCTTTCTTTCTTACCAGGTCGACAAATCTTACGGGGTAGTCTCTTCCTACCTACAGAGGAGTTCAAAGACGGAGAGAATGAGTTAATGAAGAATTTATCCACACTAAGCAAGTCATGTTCAGCAACAGCAAAGATAGGGATAGCCACATAGTTATATACACCTACCCTACGAAACCATTTATACACACGATTTCTCTTACCCTTACCATGAGGCAACGACGCGACAACATGCTCCTTCCACCTTGCTACAATAAATTTAGTAGTGCAGCCGATGTATGTATGGCGAAACCATGGAGAGACGAGAGCATAGACTATCAGCCCAGGACAATCGTCAAAATCATAGTTCCTACAGAGTAGTATAGAAAAAAGATCAATAAATTTCTCACCCCAACGAATCTCCCCTCGAACAATCAATAAGATAACAATCAACCGAAAGATAAGCTGAATCTTGACCGTCGACAGCTCCTCCCGATAGTCACGACAAAGGCGAGCTAACTCCCGGAGATGTAACGTGCTCAGGGAGTGTCCTCACTCACTGATCACTTATTCAGTCGACGTGGCATAATGTTGATCGTCCTCACCTCCATTCTGATCATGTTCTACCGGCTGCTCCGTATCCTTGAGCCAGTTATCGTAATCACGCCGTGCCCGGATCTCTGCTACGTCAGACTTAGCCTGCTCGAGTTTTATGTAAGTGATACCCTCGAGTCTGCATGCTTCCTCCATGTCCGACTTCTTAGCCTGGCGCAACTCCTTCGATCGATTTTCCCGGAACTCTTTCATTTTTGCCTCCTCCAAGTCGTGCGCAACATCCGCCGCATTCCATGTTATCCCTTTGTTTACCTTCGCTGCTTCTTCATACGCATCGTCTTCCGATTCGACTTCCACTGTCTGAAAACTTCTTCGTAAGTTCCTTGGCGTGGTCTTCCTCAGCGTGGGCTTTCTGGCAGACATGCGGATGCAAGAGGCACTCATCCTTGCCATCCGTTCCTTGGCCAATTCAACCTCTCTCTCAGCCATCTCCTTGGCCGCCAGGGCCGACTTGTATGCCTTATGCAGCGCTTCGAGGTCCTTAGGAGTATACATCGCCTCACCCATCGGATCTGATTTAGCCTTTCCCTTAGCGGGTCCTTCTGGCGGGCTGCTTTCAGTGACTATTTCCGCACCCCGCTTGCTTCGTAGTGAAACGAATTCCTCACTTAACTCCTGAAAGTCTTTCTTCAGATGGATGTTCTCCAATTTAAGTGAGGCTACCTCCACATTTTTTTCCTCCAAAGTTGTCCTCACCGTAGTGAGTTCTTTGATTTGTAGCTATATAGCCAGTATCTCATCTTGTTTGCCTTCGTCGTCTTTTTCGTGCCCTGCGCGATTCTTGAGTGCTTCGATCTCCAGTCGAAGACGCTCTTCCTCACTTTCTTGGCTCTTTAGTCTCAACAGCGCTTCCTTCTCCTTCCTTGAGGCCTAAAGTCTGGACTCACTTGGCCCTTTTGCAACTTGCATCTTCAACTCCTCCAACTCCTTTCTAAGCTTAACGACTTGACCTTCGTCATCATCTGGAATATCTACCTTCCTCCCCAACGCGGATTCACACACCGCCTTCATGCTAGTCTTAACAATCTGCCCCAGCCTGGCTTCCTGTTACTCCCTCTCTTTGACTACCTGAATTCGTTTCTCCTCTTCATCTTGCAATCTCTTCTTCTCTTGCTGAAGAAGCTCAAGCTTGGCAGCCTCGCGTTTCCGTGTCTCCCGTTTTTCCACCTGTTCAGATAGAAGACCGTATAACCGATCAATCTTACCATCATGATCACGCTCTCGATCATTGTAACCCCTCCCGACCACGGCTTAGAGTATCTATGGCCTTCATTCTGGTAACCTCCGTTGTAGCAGTCATTCCTATAGCCCTTGTTCTGCGGAGCTTCGTACGGCACGATCGCAGTTGAAGTGCTCAAAGAAGAACCTGGTGCGCTCGCAAGTGCTGGTAACAAACCAGAGTTCCCATTACCGCCCATAGCACTTTGGATCCGAGCTGCCATCTCCGCCCCATGCTGCTGCCCTCGAAAGGGGCATTCTCTAATGAAGTGGCCCGGAAGCTTACAGAAGTGACATACACCGTAGCCTGACATCTTTATAACACCGAGGGACTACTCCGTCCCTGAAAGCGGGCAGCGCCCTATAAAACATCAACGCCAACTTAAAAAACAGAGTAAGAAGCGGGAAAAGTAGAATAAAAGTATAAGAGTGAAGGTAGAAAGACGCAGAATAAGAAAGAACGGAAAAACCACCACTAAAGATAGGCATAGAAAGTGTCGAGTGACAGAGCACAATCACACGAGCGGGGTAACATCCCCCGTCGGTTGTTGCGTGAATGTCGCAGTGGAAGATTTTCCAAGCAACAATCGCAAGTGACAAACATCACTGTGAGACATGCAAGACAAGACAGATGGGACGAAGAAGATGGAGAGATAGAAAAGCGAATCCCCCGAGCGCCGTCAACTCGTATAATATTCAATGAAAGCTGAAAGTAGGTAAAGTGGCGCGAAGTGCCATAGCATGAAATTAAAAAACTGGCAAGTACCCTACGCGTTTCGGCCGGTAGCCAGTGAACCGACCATCATCAGGGGTGGCGCTGGTGACAAATGTGAAAAGGATCCTACACTATATAGTAATGCTAGTAGACCAAAAAATTCGTCCGTAGTACCATCCTAAAAGAACCAACAACTGGACCGATGTCCGGAATAGTTGTCCCTAGGAATAGGCCGCTAGCCTGAAACAATAGCCTGACTATACTTTCCACCTGGTAAAACATTGGACCCAGTCCGACCAATCGCCTCCAACCTTGGTATTAAAAGTCGTAAGGGCATCATCGAAAAACTAGTCAGGAAAATCTCTGGCCCGAAGTTCCATCTTAAGACTGAACAAGTAGGCCGCCTCAGTAGCCGGTAGTGTGCCCATGTCATATGTGGGCGATGCCCATGTCATAAGTGGGCGAGCACGTTTTGACACCGCCATCTTTGGCGATTTTTAATTCTTATTTGGCTCAACAAAATGACTTGAAAATTTACAAGCATGTAACTCACGTCATAGAGAAAAAAAAAAAAAAAATCAGAAAAAACTAATTATTTTTAGACCTCGAAATAATTTTTGGCGGGGGCCGAATGCCGTCGGGTTCGGACCCCGTACGGACCCCGAACACCCGTATGTACGGAGGTCTGCCTGGGGACCTCCGTACGTACGGGTTGGTGACCCTTCCTGTAGGAAAATAAGTTTTTCATTCCAATTTTAATTATATTATGAGAATAAACTAAAATTTTGGATGAGTTCATCAAATACTTTAATTAGACTTTCGTTACAGCACAACAATGTTTTTATTTATTTTTTCATTATTATTTTGTTTTTTACAATAACTAAAACCACTACTACCCTCAAATCTATTTTAACGAAATAATGGTGAAGTTTTTTTGGTCCTCCATTATCGAACCTTTGTTTTCAACCGTCTCATTAAAACAATATATTTTCTCACCCGTATGATCGATACTACAAAACAACATTATCCCCCCCTTAAAATATATACGAACGAAAAGGAAAGTTGCACGAGCGAACATCGCAAATTTTTTATTGAGAAAGATAAGAATGGCGAAAATTTAAATATCTTATATGAACTTGTCGTTTTCAGTATAGCGTGAAAAATGTTGAGCCTCACTGTCAACAGTAAGATTCAAAATTAAAGAAAACAAAACAAAGCGACTGCCCAACTTTCACCTTGAAAGTGGCCAGATACATTCGACTGAATCTGTAGAGTATTAGTGTGAGAACGACCTTGCCTGCGATCTTCCTGACATTATGGAAGTACCGGTAGAAAACAAAACAGGATTACAACACCGATTTTGCCTTGATAGTGAACATATACATTATGCACTGTAATACTGTGAGTGTAACCTATGCTACACCATCCTCAACGTCATGGAAGTACTGCAAATCCTCCCCCCCCGCGCCCCTTTCGATGAGCAGGCCCATAGGGTACCAATCTTTTCTTTTTCTCTTATTTTCAGAAGCTGGGGGCTGACCCTGCATCGAACCCCCGAAAAGTGCGGTATAAAACCATACCACACGTCATTTTCCCAAATGGGACCACAACTTGGAAAGGTGGTCTAATAGGGAGACAAAACGACCAAACAGAAAAGTCAAACTCAAGCCCACCCTTTGATGTTAAAACCCCTTTCAAACCCTACCCCATATGTGCCCCCTACAAGGCATTCTACGGATGTCACATCCGAATATAACGCCCGTTGGTTCTATTCGAAGGGGCCTTATTATTTAGGGTGAGAACTGTAGGGCGCCCGATTTTGAGCCTCGGTTCGTCCAGTACTGGCCAACAGTGAAACAAAAAATTGGCGAGTGTATTTTTCCACCTTCGAGCTGAAGATGCACTTGCCATTTTTTTTTTTAAACACAATTGAAAAGTGGTTACATCGGGGCCCTTTATCTGCCGTGCAAGTTTTTCTTAGTTTTTCAAGGCAAAAAAACACGACGTGCGCAGGGGTTGATGGATGTTTGGGACATCGACCAGACCAGAGGATAGAGTAGACGGGCCACGGAGCCGTCCTCCCGCTGTCCTCCTGGTGGCCTCTGCTCAGCCATCTGCCTGTGGACTGTCCTCGCTCATCGTCCATCTCTTTTCCCGTCTTCGTCTGTCGGCAACGCATGTCTTAGCCTTCCCTACCATCTTCTCTCTTTGCACACTAGACGTGCTTGCGTACATCCCCTCCCCTCCCCTCCCCTCCCCTCCTCACTCCCTCCTCCCGCTTGTTTGCGATCCCCTCCTCCCTCTGTCGTTCTCATCCTGTCCTGTTTTGCCAATCTAACGGCTCTCTGCGATGGGGAAACCATCGAAAAGGACGAAAAAGTTTGCCAAGAAGCATTTGGAAGGAGAGATTGCAAAGCGGAAAAGGCGTCAGGTTATTAAAGCTCATAGGGCGAAGAGGCTGCGACCGATTTCTGGCGATGGCGGCGCAAAGCCGGCGGGGACGACGGAGGGAGTAGCAGGCGGCGGTGATGAGAAGAAGCTAGCCGCTCTGGGTGTCGATTTCCAACAAAGTGGGGGAAAGAAAAAGCTCGCGGATCTGACGGCGGATGAGCTATTCGGCGGTGAATTTGATGAAGAAGAGGGAGCTTTTGGCGATGGCGGAGGCTGTTCGTCGTCTTCAGAGAGCGAGAGTGAAGTCAGTGACGATGTCGACGCTATGGAGGATGGAGAGGAAGAGGAGGGAGAGGAAGAGGAGGGAGAGGGGGAGGAGGGGAAGAAACAAACGGCGGATGATCGCCCTCGAGGCAGTGATGAGTCGTCGTCATCTGATGCAGACGAAGGCGAGGAGAAGGTCGGGGGATCGACCACTGTCCGCGGTCAGATTAAGAAGATGAAATCAGAGATCCAACGGCACAAAGAGGAGCTAGATGTTTTGAAGAAGAAGGATCCTGAGTTCTACAAGTTCCTTCAGGAACACGACAAGGAGCTTCTCCAATTCGGTGAAGATGAAGCTGACGATGGCGACGTCCAGGTATCAGACGACGACGACGACGACGAAGAAGAAGAAGAGGGAGATGGTGGGAGAGAGGTAAGAGGTGGAAAGGAGGAGAAAGAAGAGAAGGAAAGAGGGGACTTGGATAAGAAGAAGAAGAAGAAGAAGAAGAAAAAGAAGAAAAAGGGTGAAGAGGAGGGGGAAGAGGAAGGGGAAGAGGAAGAAGAGGGCAAGACGACGACGACTGTGGATGGGAGGAAAGTTTTGACATCGGCGATGGTGGATTCGATGTGCGAGCGGTGTAAGAAGGACGCATCCGTCGGATCCACGAAACAGATCCTTCGGTTCTACGGCATCGCTTGTCATTTGGGAGATGCCAAAGATCTGGAGAAGGATGGGGATAAGGTTTCGCGGCAATTCACCATTGCCGGCAGCCACGTGTTCAATAAGATCATGCTGTTTGTGTTGAGAGAGATGGACGGCGTGCTCAGAAGGATAGGCGAGGGGAAGGAGGAGGAAGACGACGACGATGAAGAAGGTGGCGGCGATGGCGGCGGCGGCGGCGGAAAGGGGAAAAAGAAGGAGAGGAAGAACAAGCAGAAGAAGAAAAAGCAAACTGATGTTACGGCAGCACTTACTAGAGCTGCCGACCTTCCTAATTGGGACAAAATCGTGAAATTGGTGAAGTCCTTTTTGGGCAACTCGGCCCATCTTCTGGAGGAACTGACAGATGCGGACATGATAGGGTACATGCTGAGGAGGCTGAAATCATCCATCTTCTTCTTAGGACCATTCGACAAGATCGCGAAGAAGTATATGAAGAATGCCCTCCATTTCTGGGGTACAGGGGAGGCTGCTCTCCCATTTCTTTCCATCGTCTTCGTCAGGGAGATGTGTCTTCAATTAGGTCAAGAATACCTGGATATGGCGCTGAAGGGAACGTACAAGACGTATGCATCGGTAGCCAAGTTTTTGACGAAATCCTCTCTCCCTCGCTTGCAGTTCATGACCACGTGTCTCTGCGAGATCTACGGTCTGGATCTTGCCTTGTCTTATACGTATGCCTTCGTGTACATTCGCCAGCTGGCTATGGCGTTGCGCAAAGCGCTGACGATGAAGACGAAGGAAGGGTTCCGTGCGGTTTATTGCTGGCAATTCGTAAGTTGTATGCGGTTATGGGTGAGAGTGCTATGCTGCAACAAGGACAAGGAGGAGCTGAGGCCTCTCGCGTACCCTCTTACCCAGATCATCCTTGGCACGGCTAGATTAGTCCCGACCGCACGATTCATCCCGCTGCGCACTCACTGCATACGGATGCTGAACGACCTCAGTGCCGCCTTGGACATATATATCCCAGTCTCTTCCCTGCTCGTCGAGATTCTGCAGTTCAAGGAGCTGCGCCTCCCGCCTTCTGCCGGCGCAGGGAGGTCTGTCGACTTTTCGTTAACCCTAAAGGTGCCCAAAGCGACGTTGAAGACGAGGGCCTTTCAGGACGATTGCGTGGGCGCCGTCGTGGAACTTATGTCGGCCCACCTCTCTCAATGGGCGTGCCACGTGGCGTTCCCTGAGCTCTCCTTGTTAGCAGCGGTGCATCTGCGACGATTCGTCAAAGACACTCCAGTGGATAGGTTTCGTAAGCAGATCAAAGGATTAGTCGACAAGATTGAGGAGAATGCGGAGTTAGTGACGAGGAAGAGAGAGGGAGTGAGCTTCAGCCCTAAGGATTCCGCCGCCGTGGCTTCTTTCCTACGATCAGAGCGGGAGGGTCGATCGTCGCCGTTCGTTAGATACGCAGATACGGTGCAGAAGCGCGCCGTCGAGTTGAGGAATCAACGGCACACCTCTCATGCCCTCGTCGGGGATGATGACAATCCAGCAACGGCTAGAGATGATGATGATGATGACAGTGATGGCGGCGGCGGTGAAGGAGGTCGGCGTGAATATGGGAATGGTGGCGTTGGCGGCGCGAATGGATCTGGGGAGTTTGGGCAGGGGATCGATCTCATGGAAGATGATGCGGAAGGGGATGGGGGTGAAAGAGTGTTTGGTGGGCAATGGATGCCGTCGAAGGAGGAAACCGAGGTGAAGAGGAAGAAGAAGCGTCTAGAAGAGGAGAAAGAGAAGAAAAAGCGGCAGCTGAAGAATCACGACAAGAAGAAGGCGGCGGCTAAGGGTGCGGGTGATGAGCGATCATCAGCAGAGGAGGAGGAGGAGGAGGAGGAAGATGTAGTGGAAGATCTTGTCATGTCATCCGACGTCGACGATGCTGACGACGATGATGGGGATGACGAGTCTGATCGGGATGACATGGAGGAGGATGGGCAGGAAGGTGAAGGCGGTAGAAGGGGAGCAAGGGGAGGAGGAGGAGGAGGAGGACGAGGAGGAGGGAGGGGAAGATATGGTCCAGGGAGAGGGAGAGGTGGGGGGGGGAGAAGTAATGGCCCAGGGAGAGGGAGAGGAGGAAGGGGGCGATTTGGCAGAGGCGGGGGGCGAGATGGAGGTAGGTTTTCCGCCGGCGGCGGCGGTCGCGGACGAGGAAGGGATAACGCCGCCGGTAGGAGGAGCAGTAGTAGATCAGAATGGGCCTCAGAATTCAAGAAACATAAGGGTAAAAATGACCCTAGAGCAGGGTATTGATTTGACTTTGACTTTGTCGTGTTTTGGTCAACGTGTTTGCTGCCATTGCAAGAACGCCTACATTGTCAATGTGCGTGCCTGCGAGCGAGCGAGAGCGAGAGCGAGAGAGAGAGAGAGAGAGAGAGAGAGAGAGAGAGAGAGAGAGAGAGAGAGAGGATCGACTACTCTTTTAGATGTGCAGTATTAGCCGTCGTTAACAGACAGGTTAGCCGGTTTCGGCTGTCCCACGATATATTATATAGTCGTTATGAGATATATAGTGAGGCATAGATGGAGAGGGGGCGTCGCTGCTTCGGTATTTGCGTCAGTACAAAGTGAATTGCTGACGTGGCCAGTTTTGTCCTTTTGCTGCTGTGCGGGAACGAGATCGATACAGAATTTAATTGGATCTGAATTTGTCTGCGAATTCCCGTCTCTGCAGTCCCCATTTGGCCTTACCGCTACCCACCTACAATCTCTAGTTCTCTCTCTCTCTCTCTCTCTCTCTCTCTCTCTTGGTGTGTCCTTGTTGGGTGGCCGAAGGTCATTTCCTCTCCTTGCTTGCTTTTTCATCTGTGCCAGAATGTCTGTCACAACAGAAGGTCGACAGAAGAATTACAAATCCTCTCTCTCTCTCTCTCTCTCTCTCTCTCTCTCTCTCTCTCTCTCTCTCTCTCTCTCTCTCTCTCTCTGTCTTGGCCCCTCCTCGTTGGGTGGCCGAAGTGCATTTCCTCTCCTTGCTCCGTCATCTATGCCAGAATGACATTCTAGAAGGGTATACGCGCAAGCCAGAACTTTCCGGTGTTTATCTAAGCTCCGTCATCTATGCCAGAATGACATTCTAGAAGGGCATACGCGCAAACCAGAACTTTCCGGTGTTTATCTGACCTCGGTCCTCCGGTACTGGCAGATAAAGTCCGGATATTCTGAACTTCTGAGGTCTCCTGTCCTGATCAGGACTTAATGAAAGTGTGTTCTCAACTTCTGAGTTCTCCTGTTCTGATGAGGACTTAATGAAACTGTGGACGACAGATCCGCACGTGTTCTTCCAACACAACCCTGCCTGTGCGCTTCATTTCTCTGAGAGCTACTGCAACTCCGTCGCTGTTCTATGGCCTATTTCATTTGACTGTCTGCGTTTTATTGCTTATGAGGAACTTGGTCGTCCTGCCTATCTGTTTGAGTGCTGCTGTGTACTGTTAGACTTGATTGTTCGGTGCTGTGCGGTGTGGTGGCGGCTATCAATTTGAGTGCTGCGACGTGCTGTACTGTATTTAGTAGCCAATTTTGCAGTTCTGTCTCTTTTCAACCATTGCAGTGGTGTTTGATGCTCTACTCCTTGAGATCCTTGCCCAACCGATACACTGTTTTTCTCAAAGACCTAAGTTTGTATTTAGTTGATAAGGTAAGACCACATGAAGACCACAATAAGTGTATAATACGACTCAGGCCCGCCAGGGGAGCCGCAAAGGAGTAGTAGTTGAAAGTGCAACGGGTTTCTGCATTGTAAAATGCAAGTATATCTGCGTGGTCCATCGGGATCATAATTCTTATTGGCACAACCATTGCAGTGTTGTTTGATGCTCTACTCCAGATAACATCCACTTGATTGCAAAAGTAGAGCACATTGAAGCCACAATTGCACTGTTCTGGTGGGCTCTCCTTTGGCCCCAGACTTTGCCCGATGCTTCACTCAGATGCCATTGACTTGCTTTGATCTCTCCTTTCCCGCCCCCCTTCGCCAAATCTCCTCCCATCTTCTGGCATTTTCCCTTTCAGA